AAATTTCAAATTACCACAATCGGCCGAAATTTGACGAAAAATTACCACGGTTGTTCTGAAATTACCGTAGTAATTACCACAAATTTCCAATTACCACAATTGCCCAAAAATGACGAAAAATTACCACGGTAGTAATGAAATTACCATGTCTGGTCACACTGCTCAATGGGTTTATAAACCAAATGCTGTAAACCTCTAATTATACCCCCCCTGTCTATAAGCCCATCACATTCCTAACGTTCACACCATTCCAAATATAAGACACCCCCCCCCCCCTTCGAATATATAAACCCACCCCGAATATAAGCCCACTTGTTTATCACTTAATTGTTTATCCCTATTCATATCACTATTACTGTATATACTTGTTTAACACTTGTTTATCGATCACTATTACTATACTTGTTTATCACTATTACACCATTAAGACAAAATGTCGTCCATGTATAAGCCCTCCTGTATATAAGCTCCCCTGTGTATATATAGTATATTCAGAGGTTTATGGATGGTAATGGTTGTTGAATTATTTTTTCAGATACCACTTCATTTAAATGAGCAGTGGATATGGAAAGATGAAACAAATACTTTAGAACTTATCAGGTATCTTCATTTGACTGAATTGCAAGTCGATTTAAATAACACATTGACAGCATAGATATATATCTATATGATTGACAGTACTAGTTGTTGCTTGTTTGGTAGCTATCATAGTGATCACGAATCAGTGATAACAGCTAGCTGGGGAATCAGTGACATTATGGTCAAAGCATTAGCTCCTTTCACATCTAACTTTGTGCGTTTGATTCTTGCTATGAACTTACACGAAAAGAGTCAGTCAACGCTGACTGACGAATGTGTCGAAAGTTGTGAGTTTTCTCCATGTGTTCCAGTTTCTTAAGCTCCCACAGGGAATTGAGCGCCATGAACAGTGTATAGCCTTTGGTTGCACAGTCATCAGCTATATATAGAGCAAGTGCACTTCACCTGAGAGATGTAGGTTTGAGGGGGCTCTGGTTTCTTACCACAGGGAAAGTTTACAGCGTGGGTAATTAGGATATTAAACACAGTTAAGAAATTAAGTAATATCACTATTGTTGTACACATAAAATAGTCTAGTAGGCTAAGTATCTAATTACTGTAGGTAAGCGTACTTGACGTATTTAAAGTGCATTTATCATATATCCACATAAATTTGTGCTGTATATAGAAATGCATGTAATGGTAATACAACCAAGATAACAATCTCGATCATTAATCATTGTCTTTCCTCTTTAATTCTCTACCTTGGGAATGAGGTTGCCAAGATGATCATTTCACTAGTGGACAGAATATAAATTTGTAATTCATATATATGCATGATGCATATATGTGTACCACTTAGGTAGGGGGAGGGTGTGCAAACAACACAATTTAAAATGATGGTTGATAAAATAGATATTCAGTTGTTTGCCCATTATCACTTTGGGAAATTGATATACGAACCATTTTGATAACATGAAAAAATATAGGTACAGTATCGTATTTTTTAAGTCCTGGTAATGTTAACCATATAAGCTAGAGTTCCTCTTTGAGCACTAATTGGATCTCTCTAATTTAGTCATGTAATCTATATCTGTTTGACATTAAATGGGAATAAAGAAATTTATTCTCTTCCAATAGTAATATTTCAGGATTATCATCGACCAATCAGAGCAAGAAATCTCTCAAACCAATGACCGGAGGGCATGGCAACCGCAACGATAGGTACAATTTATATTTATGTATATATTACTGACGAAAAAAATCAATGCCACTTCTGATGGTTTAAATTTCAAAATCTTCACGAGAAGATGCCATTGCCCCCCCCCCCTGCCCCTCCTAGGTAAGTGATACCTGAGCCACCACATAACTGCCTACTTGGTCCAAAAAGTGCCCTACTCCAAATTCCAGTTGGGAACCCACCAGTGGGCTGATTTAATTAATGACTGAGTGATTGACAGATTGATACTGATTGCCATAGTCATACCAAACTGGGGCAGAAAAGTTAAACCATGGAAATTTGGGAAAATGCTAGGAAAAAGGAAGAAAATTTGTGCAGATTTATCAGAAAATTATATCTTAAATTCAATCAAAATTCGGGCAAACTTTCAACTGTCCCCACCTCATACACCTATGCTGATTGCCTGCCTAACTAACTAGCCTGGCTGACTCACTGACCAACCGATTAACCAGCTGGGCCAGGGGAAACTGACTGATCCGTGTTGTTCATGTGTCTGTCGTTCATGTGGGGAAAAGAATAAAACGGATAATTTTTTATTTTTCAACTATTTTTCCAGGATAACATCAAATGTGTTGAACAAGAGATATGGTATGAAGTTGCAAGCAGGTCCCCCCTCCACAGCTGTGAGGGGATCGTCAGCTAGACCCAGCATACGTAATGGTCTAACCACGAACACTGCAGAACATAACACTGTCACCATGAATGATGTCAAGACTGTGGCTAAAAATAATTGCCTTAGTGAAAGAACAAAAAATTCACCTTTATTCAAGGAGTTATATTTCTGGTAAATGATGAAATTTATTCCAGCCTGTAATATAGAGACTTGAAATTTATTCAAGCCTGTATAGGCTGTTTCTATTGTGATAGTGATAACATAAACACCAGAAAACTGCGTATTGATCGAGAAGGATTCAACTACCAGTACCTGAAAAATACAAGTAAAACTTCGACGTTTCTTTTTCATGCAAACCAGCTTTTTTTTACATTTTCCATTATGCTTACGCATTAACCTGACAGAATTACAGAAAACATGCAAGATTTGAGGATGGGATTCCAGACTCTAATTTTATATTGGATCCGATCATCTGAACACAGAAGACCCCATTTATTGTCGCGTATATAGTGTGAGCGATGAAACGTTGAGAGGCGCGCTCAGCTGATCCTGTATAATCGAGTTGTTAACAGTACCGGATTTCTTTTTGTGTATGGATTTTAAAACAGAGCAGTTTTAATTGCAATTCTTCAATTTTTGTAGTTCAGATCAACTAGATGATTTTCTTTGGGCGGCACTGAATTACTTCGGTGCATTCTTTGAGAGAAAGTTGTTAGAAGAGAAGCCGAAACCCATGGCGGTGTAAGTAGTATACCATTTCAATAATTACGTCACAAGTCCTTTCTTGGCCCCGTAGCCTCGTTCTCGTAAGCCTTTTGTTGTTCGGCTCTCAGCCTCAGGCCAAGAGAGATTTCGTGATGCAGTGAGAGAGGTTCAGATTGTACTTCGACCACCGCTACCTCTTGACTATATATTAACCAATCAATCTGTTGCGGTAGTGGAAGTCAAATGGTTTGTGTCTTTTCTGTCGATCAACCTCATCCTCAGGGCATTTTGCCTCCACGGCTGAAGGTCGGCGAAAATGGCCCTGGGATCGGCTGATCAATCCTACCATCCCATTGGGGTTTTGATTGTGTTAGTAATAAACAAGTCAGTCATAAACAGCGGAAAAATAAATGCGCTTTGATTAACATAGTAAGCTATAAAGACAATGAGGGGCCCCCGTGGGGCAGGGCCGCCGAGAAGTTGGCGGGGGCCCTTGGCAAATTTTTTTTGGGGGGCCCCCTATCAAAAAAATTTTTCCGGAAAAAAATTTTTCCGGAGACCAACCTCGTCGCCAAAAAATTTTCGGTCAGTACGTGTACCATTTTAGGGGTAAAAAATGTTTCCGGACGAGTACGTTGCAATTGCTTTCCAGGAACTTTATCTCATTTTTTATGCCAAATTTCGGTACTTAGCCAAAGAAAACAGATATCTTGTCCTTTGCGCGGAAATATTTAACACACAAAAAAGACTGGGGCCCAACAAAAATTTTTCAGGGGCCCACAGCACCTCGGGGCAATTCCCCCCCCCCCTGCCCCCTCTCTGCGGCCCTGCGTGGGGGAGGGGGGCTGAAATTTGGAATGAGGTGAGCGTTAGTACATGTGGTGGGCTTATACACGGGGGCTTATATTCGAATTATGCAAGCATACTGCTCTTAAAATAACGTCTTTAGATGAATAAGTTGACAAAAAGTTCATTGCTTCACATTTATTATTCGTAAACAAACAACAAAGTTTTAATTTCAGACAATCACCCAGAAATTCTGGGTGTCATGTGACCAGCCGATCTTCAGGGCCATTTTCGCCGACTTTCAGCCATGGAGACAAAATGCCCTGGGGACGAGGTTGCTGTTGAATACACGTCAAGAAAAAATATAAGGTAAAAACGTTTCACAAACGATGAAAATATTTCCCAAATTTGAAGCACAGATTTCTTGCAGACAGCCAAGTGTGGCGGAAAAGAAGGCAATAGCCTTGGTATTAAGCAAAGAAGAGGAAGCAAAAAGATCGTTAGCTCAATGTTATGGTGTGCTAGTACTCGGTCTAGGATTGGAAGACGCCCATCACATGCATTGTGGAAGGTGTGTACTACTTCCTGTAAAAGCAATTATTATTGTTTCTTCTATCAACTTACATATCTTTCTAATAACATTTTATTATTATACATTTACTTGTATATTAACTATTACTTATTTGTATTGTGATAAACCAAATCAATAAATCGTTCATTCATTCATTCGTTCATTCATACTCTTATGAAAACCATCTCTGATGATAAGGCTTCTTCACAAAAGATTGTTTTAAATTAAATTAAATTAAAATTAAGTTAACGCATGACGTTTTTTAGCATAATTCTAGCCTGAATATATTTTGATATCCACAGCTGTAAAATTTATATTTTTTAGAAAACGAAATTCTGCAACGCAGAGAGACCGTGATCTTTACGAGGTAATGACTAGTATATAATATGACCGAAGCTGCGGTCAAAAGAGCCATAAACTATGAAATCTTGGTTATGCACTGGCTTTTTGTGATAGGGGAAATATCTGAAAGGCTTTTGGAGAATACACACCCTTTATCATACCTAATGAGAAATACCGTGCAGTTATTTTTTCCATCGACATGCATAAAATGTTGCAGAAGTTACAATTTTCCTTCAACAAGTTATGATCAGCCTTCACCAAATCTTTCACAACTTCCTTTCAGAAGTATTTACGATAAAAAACTCAGCTTCATTACATTTCTCAATGTTCTTTGTTTTTTCAGAATTTGTACAATTTCGTTGCAAACGTAACATGGATTACGTTCCGAAGACCGAACTTAGATGTTATAGAAAAAGAATTAGGAAGGTATAATTGAATATCTTTCATTGCTTGCGTTCTAGTTTTTCGGTCACATTTTTCAGAACGTATATAACAGCAGATTTTTTTTAGATTACTGCGATCGGACACATTCAATCCAGCCATAAGACCAAAACACATACAAGGTATGGGAACTGTCTGTCTCTCTTAGAAAGCTGTAACAATGACTTTTTGACCATGAAAGCATTAGTAATTTGGTATAGGTAATTAAACTAAGCTATCTATTGCATAAAATTCAAGGCACAAGTTTCAAAAAGTACGATTTCCAGCTAGTACGAAAGGTAGTCATGCATGTATATGTTTGCGATGTTGTCCCTTAAGCCTGATTTCCACTAGGCGGAATTTTGCGCGCGGAGCGGAATTTTTCTTTGTCTTGTGATTTCTCAGGTGGAACTAATTAGAAATGACAAAAAAATTTCCGCTGCGCGCGCAAAATTCCGCCTAGTGGAAATCAGGCTTAAGTGCGTCCATACCGGGCAAGCTGAAGTGCTTGACCGCGATGGGAATCGAACCTTTGGTTTACTATAGTCCATCTATCATATATCTTCACCTGAGTACTACCTGAGTGCTTATAACCCCAGAAAACAAAAAATCAAGGCGGTCATGTGTTGGCAAACTAATTCGCTCCCCCCCCCCCTCGCTTCCCAATAGCCCTAAATGTTTGTGGTTATTAGTAGAGAAAATGAGATGAAAGCATGACCTTTGAGTATTATTCCAAGTTACAGGATTGGTTATAGGTAACCAGACTTGCTTGCAGACAGACTGCATGGGTAGCCCGCATCTGCGAATAAGAGTACTTACTACCTTTTCTTACAGAAATTTACGCTAAAGATCGTCTAAAGCGTGACAGTGTAAAAGAACCACTCACTCCAGCTGAATACAGGAGATTACAACAGTATGTAATATACGTGTTTTTATACAGGGTTCGTCCACCTCCCATTTAAAATTCCATGACTTCCCATGACCTTTTTTTTCAAAATCCATGTCCTGGAAGTCTGGAATTTCTGAAATTCGTTAATATTTTAACGATAACAGATCTAATAAAAGACAAAATTCACTTCGCTCTTGCAACAGCAATTCATATTATTATGACTGGTAAATTGAAATAAGTAAAATACTTTGTTAATGTTATGTAAAATTTCAATTTTCCACGACTTTCCATGACCAAAATTGATTTTCCAGGATTTCCAGGCCTGGATTTTGGAGTATTGAAATTCCATGACTTTCCAGGTTTTCCAGGACCCGTACAAACCCTGTTTATAGCAATCTCTCGAATTTACTCAGTCCTTAAGTTTTATCTGCATTTTCTCATTATAGAAAGCGACCAGCTATCAAGTCAATCGTAAAGTAAGTATACTGTACATATTTTGCACTTAATGCTAAATATTCCATCCATTCCTTGTTAACCCTGGCAATGCGCCCTGATGAGCCCTACTTTATTATTCCACTCTGTCTAACGCCAGACGATATTACTTGTCAAGGTGTGAGTGCTGCCACATAATGGGTTAAATGTATGACAAATTTCCCGTAAAATATTATGACAATTTTATCACGGATTATTTGCCAATATTTCTGTTACAGTCAGAGGTCGCCAGTCATCTCAGCATTAATTCCAACATCGATTGAGGCAGCAAAACAGTGCAAAACCAGACAAGAAGTCAATTCCCTTGTCACGATGTAAGTTGGGTTGCACGTTTCAAACTGAAACAATGTAAAGAGCACATTTAATCATATCCTCACGCGAATCTGCGCTATAACAGATCGTTCGAGTTTGTATTATAGAAATCTTAATTTTATAGTAGATCAAGTATTACGCAGGGCTTTCAAAATAAGCAAAATAAGCTTTCAATTCTGCTCTCATTCCTCCAACTCTAAGCTTTCAACCAAAGTTATTGTTCTTAAACTTGGTCTATACTTTATAGCCTGGTTATATTCGAGAACGGCGCACTATTTCGTAAAATCGATTTAGTTATTTGCCATCTTAAATCTTGAAGTTATCTTCTTGAAGAGTGAAAGTAGTGACACATTATAATTTGGTTACGGAGCTCAGTTGTGTTGCTATCTAATCAATATAAGAGAGTTTGAGCAAGACAACGAAGTCGGACGACGACGACGCGTTGTTGACAATTTTTGCCTGTCTTGCACATTAATATACCTTGCGCATTCTGAGTTTAGGGTCAGGAGTAAAGACAGATTAGAGATTCATGTCTAGCTGTTTGTGAATGCTGACTCAAATCCTTACCCTGATCAGGATAAAACAGCGAGACTTGAATCCATATCCCGTCTTCGTTCTTCTGCCTTCGTTCACAACGAATATTTTGGCAAAATTCGTCAGTGTGAACTTCGTTCTGCACGAAGGCAGAAGGACAAAGACGGGATATAGTTTCATGTCTCGCTGGTTTTTTTCTGGATCAGGTCAAGAATTAGGGTCAGTATTCATAAACAGCCACACATGGGAAGACACGTTGAGCAACCACCAGTGACGTCCAACTCAGTATGCGCAAGATAATGTGCAGACGGCAAAAATTGTCAAGTATGCCTTCGTCTTCGTTGTCTTGCTCAAACTCTCTTAAGACCCCCTAGACCGCCCCCTCCCAACAGCAGCCTACTTTATCAAAACAGACACCTACTCAGAATAATTCTGAAAGCCCTGATTACGCTTACCTAATTTCTTACTTAGCATGTAGTAATACACTACTTTACAACAATTGTGATATTACTTTCTTAACTGTGTTTATCCCAACCATTAAAATGATACTAACCCACCCTGTCAACTTTCCCTGTGGGAGGAAACTGGAGCACCCGGGGGGAACCCACGACTTTCGGCAGAGCGTTGACTGACCCTTCACATAAGTAGGCAATGAGAGAATCGAACCCACAATCTGACCAATCTCGTAGGTGAAAGCAGTGAGCTCAATATATCTGGAGCAATAACTTCAGTCCAGTAGGACTATGAGAAATGTGAAGGCAAGATGGCGGCTATGGAGATCCAATAGCTCTGAAGGTCGTAAACAGCTTTTATATATATCATTTTCCCCAGCTAAATCCAGTTTTTGCTAAGGGACCTTATCGCCAATCAAGTTTTCAGTTCATAAAATCATAATATTAGTCTTTAAATGTAAGTCAAAATACGAAATTTCGGCACACTCCTTGCCAAGATGGCGGAAATTGAAGGGGCTATTGTACGTGAGTTCCAGCCCTTTCTATTGCTTTTGTCTGCCTCCTCCACAGGCCCACCGAAAGTCCTCTGCAAGTGTTTATGCAGGCGCTGTTCACTGAGTTAATAATGTATATCTTATGCTATTAATTTAATTTGCCTTCACAGGGACTACAAGCACACAATGGAATTTCCTCAAAGGTAGAGCAGTTTTAAAGAAGTTTTAAACCTTTGTACTTTTCTATAAAAAAAAATTAACCCATTAAGCTGCAATGTCCCGAAATAGGTTAACCATTCATGTGCAAAACTGCCTCTCCCAAGTCGGGCGCATTGCAGCTTAATGGGTTAACAAATCTGCCAGTATATATTATTCCACTCTATCTAATGCCAGATGATTGTACTATTCAATGAGAGAGTCCAGTGCATTAATGGGTTAGACAGTATCGTCTCATATTTAATAATCATTGAGTGCCTACTACTGTTCTTTCATTTTTCCTGTTAACAGAGTTGGAATAATTGGTGAACCGTTGTCAGGATTTAATGCGGAGACCTTAGTACCAGTTGGTCAGGAAGATCAAGAAATAAGTGAAGTTGAAATCATACCTGACGACTGTAGTAGCAACGAATTGAAATCCAGGTATAATAATAAAAACATATTTTGATAACTGCGTGGTAAAGGATATACAACTACCTGAAAAACATATTAAGGTGGCTCCCTACAGTTGTTTAAGCATGGGACTGGTAACGAAGATAGAAGTTCACATCACATGATCCCAAACGAGCATTTTTATTGTTCTACTCTCGTTACAATGGGCTTACTGTGCTGAGCGAAGGAATGAAAAGACATACGACATTGTGTTGCCATTGTATTTTCTTTGGTTTTGCATGGAAAAAACTATTTTCTCAATGAAAGTTTTTGACTTGACAATGTATACACTGGTACTGTTATGCATCGCAGTGAACGTAAAAACTGTTCATTACTACATTGCAAAGGCAGTAATACATTTTATATAATAACTACAGTGAAACACGCAATTTGATTGGTCAATAGCCGTGTAGGATCAGGCTATCCTGTACGAGGAATTAAAATGCCTTCGCGGGATTTTCGCGGGATTCTCAAAATGTCATTGTTTCACTGTTGTTATTTTATAAAACAATTACCAAATGGTTTTCCAAGCAGGATAGCGTGATCCATGCACTTGGGATGTTTCTCGACTTTCGGAAAGCGTAAAAATACACTCGCCTGCGGCTCGCGTACTTTTACGCTTTCCGAAAGTCTCGCGACATCCCTCGTGCATGGATCACGCAATCCTGCACGGAAAACCATTCGGTATTCCTTTAGTAGTGACATTTTACAACCTGGAATATAATTATTTTTATGGCACCCCGCCATCGCGGACTCTCGCTACTAAGGCCCACTTCCACTCAGGAAAGTTTTCCGCAGAAAGAAAAATTTGTAAAATGTAATTGACCGACACAAATTTTCCGTGGGAAAAAAATTTTGAAGTCGAAAATTTTCAACTTTTAATGATATTTTCGGAAAATTTTCTGTCCGTGGAAAATTTCCATGAGTCGAAATGGGCCTTTACAGACACCAAATGACCATAGATATCTTATATAAACTAGATAGCGCATCTCTTTTAGTAAAATTGAAGCCAAGAATATCCCAGCGGTTACCCCCATTTGAATAGATGGCGGCCATGTTGGATCTTCCCACTCGCTAATAAACGCTTAAAAAATAACAATAACTTTCATCATTTGAATAGTTTGAAAATGTATTTATAATAGGATTAACTTAATGTTTAAGTTCCCTGTTTAAGAAATAGGATACATACGAATCTTCTCATTTCATGGGAAGATCCTGAGCCTGCAATCACGGCTTCAATTTTTGAATTGCAGAATAATTAGATGCGCTATCTAGTGTATATAAGATATCTATGCAAATGACGGACCCCAGTGCGCCCGGTAAATATCAAGATTTTGTTGGCATCTCACTCGATTGGACAATAATATTTGAAGGGTCTTGTAGATGGGAATTATTGGGTGGAAACTTATATGCATTTATTAGACCTAACCATGCAAGGAACAGCAGACTTGACTGTGGTTGATTGCACTGTATAATAGCAACATGATATTTCTTTTTTTCTAGTAATGTTTTGTATGGATCAGCGGATCAGAACTTTATTCAAGAAGGTAAGAAAATGAACTTGAATATGGACTATATGTATGATTAAGATCCATCGAAATTTAATTTAAATTCAACCCTATTTTTTCAGGCACGCAGATAAAACATCAAATGGATTCCTTACCAGTTGAATAGAAAATTTACCTTACAAAATCATAATACTGAACAGAATATAAAATTGGGAAAAAGAACCAAAGATATTTTATACATGTAAATATATACTTTGTCATATGTACAGTGCTATTTTATTGTCAAATATGATAAATATTTTTACCTATAGTGCTTGGTGTCTATTTATTCGGAGTTTCTATGAATGCCTGTGCTTCAGGTGGAATACTAATGAGCAATTCTTCAAGTTCAGTATGTTGTACATCCATACTCACGCCTTCAGGGCAATTTCTCTGAATATATTCCAGGAAAACATCTGATGTTGTACCAGTTAACTCTTTGAACTAAATGGAGAGAAAAACGAACTATACTATACCGCAAATAATTCTTGAATGACTTTTTAAGGCTGATTCGCACATACAACTTTTACCTGCCTGCTTACAACTTGAATTGTACTATATAAATCAAGCACACAACTCACCTAAGTTGTCGTAGGTGAGTTGGGTGGTTGATTTACACAGTACAACTCAAGTTGTGAACAGGCTGCATGCGACAGTTTTTGGCCGAAGTTGTAAACTCACTGAAAATTCACTACGTTACAAACGTTACAAACTCACTGAAAATTCACTTTAATGATTTGACTACTTTGGGTTTACCACTTTGAAGTGGATCGAAGGAGAGCCTTTTACAACGCAAGCGACAAAGGTAGTAGTACCTGTGTGCTTGTAATCTCCTACCTAAAGTATGCCTGTATAGTTCGCAGCCAGTACCTAACCTGCGAACGGGCATAGCTTGGGTACGAGATTAGTCTACCAATCGCAGCTTTTCAGGCAATGTGCTCAAATATGCTTTGTCAATCACTGGAAGACATCAGTATTGGTCCGTCCGGGATTTCGGTGCCCTTTACAATCCCCTAACCTCCCCTCTCCCGTCCTCCTTTATCTGTGTAAAGCATAGTAAATATCCGATCGTGCACTGAGGAAAAAAAGGCAAGGTTAATTCCGCCGGCTCTATCGTCAAGCACATTCCACTAAAGTTTTAAAATAATATTCTACCCAATAATTGTTCTTCTGTATAAAGGACAGAAAAGTTTCCAAAAAAATCCTGTAATGAGACAGTGAGTTGAAAACATCACGTGAACTGCTGCATGTTGTGCGTCTACAGTAAGTGGGGCCACTTAGAGAACACTAACCAATCACATTGCAGAACAAGAGAAAAAATCAACAAACGGCTCATTAGCCAATCAGCATTAGGCCAAAAACAATTTGAACAAATACACGAATGTCAAACGGTAAAAATAGACTTGTAAAAGTAAACACTGCAGTTAATGGCTTTCTGAATCTTTCTTTTGATTGGACGAGCTTTAGTTTGATTAGATTTTTCTTTTTGTTCTGCAATGTGATTGGTTAGTGTTCTCTAAGTGGCCCCACTTACTGTAGAGGCACTGTAAACTCGAAACTCTGGGTTTGCAAAAAGTGGAAGACTTTTCAATGTATATTACAAATTCCACCATTTTAATATTACCATCCGATAACAGGATGAAAAGGATGGGATTGTTTCCCCCGGGTATGTCCAGGGTGGGGGAAGGGCTTTCAAATTATTGCTGCATTATATCATCATTACAAATTTTAGTTTCTTACCCGAATAAGAAGTCTCTGTGTTCGTATTTCATACTGTACTCTGTGTTTTTTGTAAATATGTGGAGATTTCAGTACTGTGTAACGTTCAATGTTTCTTGGTAATGCCACCCTAAACAGAGGTTGAAATGTCTGGTTCTAACTCTTGCCACGTTTTTAAGGCCTCACTATAACAGCGCAGAGTTTCACACTGCTGTAATGAGGGTAAAAATGAAACGAGTCATTTACAGATATAAATATATACAAATAGTGCATGTAAAGAAACCGGTCACCGGGCGCATTGCTCGTGATAACTGTGCTTCCTTAATTAAGGCCATGTTACACAGTGCAATTTTTCTTGCAACTTGCAATGCAATTCTACTCTTGAGAGATGTTAATTAGTGAGATCAGTGACAGTGAAGAATTTTCGATATGTTGAGAAAACATATGAAGACTCGTATTTGGCAATTTTACATCTCTCATCTTGCATTGCAAGTTGCAAGAAAAATTGCACCGTGTAACATGGCCTTTACTACTATAAATATGTTAAGGCAGAATTGCCCACGGCCATGACTAAATCTACATGACTATTTGTGTGTTTATTTACGCTCTACAGTAAATTAACTAGAACATTGCTTCGGAAAAGTTGCTTGGTGCAATACTTTCTTTTAGTAACGGCGTCTAAAAAGTTGAAACTTTGCACTATCCTTGGGCCAGGATGCTGATTCGACCGAGCTATTACTGCAAGATATGAACAGTGACCTATAATACTATATGTAAAAAAATATAACTCTCCATTTCAACCGCTGAAGTGGGAAACATGCACAAGTGCAGTAAATCTGAGAAAAAGAGAAAAATCTCCAAAAAAACAGTAAACATAATATGATATTTGTGGTGTTACTCTGAGTGTATATCCACACCGGGCGAGCTTGAAAAATATGCCCGGCCACGGTGGGATTCGAACCTACGACCTTTGGAATACTAGACCAATGCTCTTCCAACTGAGCTACGCGGTCAGGACGGTTCGAGTAAGTGATATTTCGGAACAGAATCTAGTTCCTTCAATACCAATGTGTTCTAGTAATATGAATTTTTCTGTGTTGGTGTAGTGTACTCAGGTGAATATGATATTTGTGGTGTTACTCTGAGTGTATATCCACACCGGGCGAGCTTGAAAAATATGCCCGGCCACGGTGGGATTCGAACCTACGACCTTTGGAATGCTAGCCCAATGCTCTTCCAACTGAGCTACGCGGTGAGGACGGTTCGAGTAAGTGATATTTCGGAACAGTATCTAGTTCCTTCAATACCAATATGTTCTAGTAATATGATTTTTTTTTTCTCTGTGTTGGTGTTGTGTACTCAGGTGAATAATATGTTTGCGATGTTACTCTGAGTGGATATCCACACCGGGCGAGCATGAAAAATATGCCCGACCACGGTAGGATTCGAACCTACGACCTTTGGAATACTAGCCCAATGCTCTTCCAACTGAGCTACGCGGTCAGGACGGTTCGAGTAAGTGATATTTCGGAACAGAATCTAGTTCCTTCGATACCAATGTATTCTAGTAATATGATTTTTTTTTCTGTGTTGGTGTAGTGTACTCAGGTGAATATGATATTTGTGGTGTCACTCTGAGTGTATATCCACACCGGGCGAGCTTGAAAAATATGCCCGGCCACGGTGGGATTCGAACCTACGACCTTTGGAATACCAGCCCAATGCTCTTCCAACTGAGCTACGCGGTCAGGACGGTTTGAGTAAGTGATATTTCGGAACAGTATCTAGTTCCTTCAATACCAATGTGTTCTAGTAATATGAATTTTTTTTTTTGTGTTGGTGTTGTGTACTCAGGTGAATATGTTTGCGATGTTACTCTGAGTGCATATCCACACCGGGCGAGCTTGAAAAATATGCCCGGCCACGGTGGGATTCGAACCTACGACCTTTGGAATACTAGCCCAATGCTCTTCCAACTGAGCTACGCGGTCAGGACGGTTCGAGTAAGCGATATTTCTGAACAGTATCTAGTTCCTTCAATACCAATGTGTTCTAGTAATATGATTTTTTTTCTGTGTTGGTGTTGTGTACTCAGTTGAATA